GTGCACAAGCACACACACACATGACTTGGTAAAAATGAGATTTAGGGCTCAAGATGTGGCTTGCTTAGCAATTGGGATGCTCTGATCTCTATCCCAAATGCTACAAAAAAAAACGAGCAAACATATATAGCAGTAAGCCCAATACGGCTTTCAGAATGCTGGCAGCTTAGGTCTCAGGATATTTACAGCACCTATCATACGGGCATATCTGATTTCTATGGGTGATAGGATGGTGAGGGCTTCATTCAGAATCAAAGGGAGTGCTGAGTAGTTTTCAAAAGACCAGTGGCCATAAAAGTGGAACTTGGTCCATCCCAGTGTCACAGCCCCCTCAGAATTCTTTTCTCAGTCCACATGGGAGCCCAAGAGTCCCCACTTCTAGGCAAAGGGTCCTTGATTCTTTGGGGTGGATAAGGGAAGCATTAAAGGCCATGAGATCTAAGAGTTCAGAACAGTGGCCAGGTAGGGTTGGGTTCAGAGGAGAAAGACTGCCAGAAGGGAATGTCAGAGCTCAGAGATGAGTCCATTTGCCATGGAGCATGGAGCTGGGAAGTGAGGGAAGACAACATGACCAAACCTGAAACACAGCAGTAGCATCTGAGGCATAGCACCAGCCCAGAGCAAGCTACTGTCTTCTCTGTCCCCAAGGCACTGTCCCCATAAGACAGGGTACCTGCTCACAAGCTTACACAAACAAGACAAATGCACAAGTTAGTAACAAGACAGAAGGGCAATGAAAAGCAGAAAAGATGTGGCTGAAAGAATCTGCAACATACCACATATCTGGTTAAGGGCTGACGGTGTGAGCCACAGGCATTCAAGGGTGGTGTCCCTCCGCTGTGAAGTTTGTGGTAACCATCAAAGGCCAGCAACCTGGAAGGCAGGTTAGAGCATGCTTTGAGATGCTGGTGACTGCTCAGGTCTCAGTGACCTCTGTAAAGTGAGGATAATACTTAAGTAGTCACCTACTGTATGCTAACGCTTGCAATGGGTGCAGGAAGTGTTTGGAGATTGCAGGAGACACTGACTTTAGGGTGGTAGGTGTGAATACATCTGAATGAGTGAATGAATGAATAAATGGATGAATGAATGAACAGATGGATAGGTATGTTCTCTAAATAGGTGTTTCTCCACACTGCAGCAGGCAGCTGGGAGAAATGATGGATAGACCCTCAGCTCTGGGCTCAGCTACATCATGGCAGCCTGTGAGAATGTGGTGGTGGGAGGTGGCTAGTCAGGGCTGAGGGCAGGGGGCAGGCAGGCTGGGATGGTCATTGCTTGCTCTTCCCTGGCCTACTTCGCGTCCCTGAATCTCGGTTTGCTAGTAGACCAGCGGACGACCTAAGCCACCGGAGGCCGGAGTAAGGGAATTGTCAAGCATGTATCTTCGCACGCTATGGTTGATGCCGGACCTTTGCAGGCCACACTCACCCGCATGCGTGAGAATCTGGGGCAGGGGAATTTGGGGCACGGAGGGAGGGACGGCGGGAGGAAGTGGCAGACTCGGTGGGAGAGGGCTCCCCAGAAGGGGAAGTGAGCGGATCCAGACCGCTAGCCTCTTTAATTAAGAGGCTGCAGCTCCCGGCTCTGCCGCGCTCCCCGCTGCAGTTTCGTATGCAGACTGCGTTAGATTACCTGAACCCCACTAGGCCTGCAGCGCCGCACGCCGGCGAGGGCTTTCCGGGTCGTTGCTGGGCGGAGCCTGAGCTGCAGCAGCCGAAAGGCTCCTCGCAGACAAGTGGCGCAGCTTGTGGGTGGGCGGAGTCCGAGGGCCTGTGGGCGTGGCCAGGGCTGCAGGGCCTGAGCGCCGAGTCTCAGCGGGTGAAATCGCTGCATTGGGTGGACGGGGCGTGGCCTATGCCCGCAGAGGGCGGTCCAGACAGGGGGGCTTGGCCTTCGCCTATAGAGGGAGGGTCGGGAGGGGCGTGGCCTTTGCCTGCGGAGGTCGGCCAGGCAGGGGGTGTGGTCTGTGTCTGCAGAGGGCGGGGTCTGTGGGGTGTGGTTTGTGCCT